GCTCGTGGTTCCTTGCGGATGCATCCCATGCCGGTTGATGGTGCCGTCACTTGCTTTGCAGCATTCAATAACGTTAACTGTCCAAACGGCTTCTTGTATTTCAACAAACAGGTATGATGCGAATAGAGGTCATGCATCTAATAAAATGACACATGTGAATCAAGTGCCATAAAAGTCATACAATTTGAGAACACACGAATTGATCATAAGAATGAAATAACTACCAAAAGGCTGCTACATAATTCTACTCCCCTTTTCAATTTCTCTTCATTGTAGATTTAAATAAATAAGTCAAGTGTGAAGTCATTACTGAGGTGTATGCTCTGAGCCCACTCTTGACACCTTACCATCTTACTTCAAGTGGGGTTCTAGTGGCAATATTGTAGTCAGTACTGAGTTGTACACTCTGAACCCACTCTTGATGCCTTACCATCATGTGATGAATCTTGGTCTTTTTTATAGGGTGATTTGAGAATCTGTGTGCTGCCCTCTCACCTTTCCTACGATGCACCTTGGCCTGTGCGTAAAGTCCCACTGAGATGTACACCTAATTTTGTTGCTTACCATCTTGAAAGCAAAGTGAGTTTTCTGTTTTTCATTCCTTAGTTGTAAGGTTTTTTTTGTTTTTTAGGTAAATCCACTGATTTCCCAAAATTTGATTTTCTTATCCTAATTTTAACTTTATTTTTTTGGGTGATAATCTTGGTGAATTTTTCTTTCCATCTCATATAGACCTATGCTGTAGTAACCAGCACAATTGAAACTACAATCAAGATGGTTGTCATCAATAATGATGAACGAGAAATCAGTATACCAGAAAGAGGTCAGACCTCACTGCTTTTAAGTTCTAATATGTTTTTAACAGAAGTGAATTTGTATCATAATTTAATATATTTTTGGCGTTTTTTATTTCAGATGATCGTTTCATCTTCCCTACAAGAGACTCATTTTCAATTCAGTTATTTTCCCCTTTGAGCTGGGAACCAATACCAAATACAAAGTATGTTTTTTCCTGTGCATGCCAGTAGATAACTTTACTAATACTAATATAATCCAATAAAAAATAGATATGCCGTACTAGTCTAATATATAATAGAAAATAAAACTCAGGATATTCAGTACTTTTATGACTAGTT